GACTCAAGATAAAACACCAGAATAAAAACAGAAAATGAAAACAACCTAAAAGAACTAGACCTGGTCAACCACGTAAGACACATAATCATGTAAAAACTCCCCCATACTTAAAATCGAACAATGTCCCCATTGTCGATCATCAGTGCAAGGAAAGTTTACCCATATAATCAACCAACACAAAAGACAGAAAAAACTAACCGAAAATGGAAATAAAGAGAAAGGAAAAGTACAAACGTACAGGGCACAGTGACTAGACTAGTCACTGTGAATCCGGTGGTGCAGGTGGAGGGTGGAGGTAGTCAGGCCCCGGACAGCGGTGGGCCTCCATCAGTTCAAATCTCTCGCCCCATTAGGATCGGGGCAACTCTCTGGAACTAGGTTGGGGAGGGGCAGTGTGGCGGTCAGTATGGTGTCCTTTCTCAACACAAAATCGGTCTTGCAATGACATCTTAGCGTGCTCTCACATGCACGCTTTCTCAGTGAGTTGCTCAATCGCCCTAAGGTACGCACACTCTTCCACGAACTTCACTTGCGGCTCAGGCAGAGTCTCTCGAACGGAAATGAAGGTGGATTCCCCCAACACAGTCATACTCGCAGTCCCCTTCTTAACATCAATAATTGTGCTCATGGTTGCCATAAAGGGTCGTCCGAGGAGGATGGCGTGCTCCTTTTCCATTTTCTTTCACGTTCCCTACATCAAGCACAACGAAGTCCACGTGGACTATCAGCTTCCCCACATGGACTAGCACATCCTCTACAATCCCTGCTGGTTGGCGAAATGAGCGATCAGCCAGCTGTAGGCGCATTCTGGTCGGCTTCAATTCTCCAAGCTCGAGCCTATGGTAAACTGCGAGTGGCATGAGGTTAATGCTTGCTCCTAGATCAAGCATGCCCGAGGTCTCTTCTCCATTCCCGATCACAAAGCCTCCGGGATCTTTTTCCTTCTTGGGCAAATTATGCTGAAAGACACTCGCAGCTTCACACATAAACACCTCATCGCTACTCTTGAGCCTCTATTTGTTCGCCGCCAATTCCTTGGAAAACCTTGCATAAGCCGGTATCTTCTTCATCACGTCGGGAGGAGATAAATCGACATTGGCCTTGGCCAACATCGCATGAAGGTCTCGAATCATCTTGCGGTCCTTCTCCTCCAAAAGTCGGCTAGAAAAAGGAATCCTCATCCTGTATGGGTTATGGGATTTGTGTAAGGTAGGCTCGGGTGATGGTGTCACTGGGGCTTCTTTCTCCTTATCAACTGCCTTCTCCTCCTGCTCGGGTATAAGCACTGTAACCGAATTCGCATGCTCAGGCTGACTCGGCAACTTCCTCTTGCTCAAGTCAATCTCGATGGTCCCGACCCGTGTGGCCAATTGTCCCACTTGCGTCTCGAGGCGCTTAATGGAAGCCTCATTGTTCATGGTTCGTTGCTTGTTATCAGCCAAAAACAGGAGGATCTTATCCATCTTCTCATCTGAGTTTGACGGGCTCGGTCCGGCTTCTGGTGCTGGCAACCTTAACATTTGTCCCCTGTGTTGCTGCTGATGGAGGACAAAGTTAGGTTGAGGTGGCTGCTGGGAGTTGTTGTTTGACCAGGAGAGGCTTGGGTGGTTTCCCACCCGGGGTTGTACGTGTTTGAGTACGGGTCATTTCCGGGCCAGTTCTGATATCGTTGCACAGCATTTACCTCAGCTCCTTGGCCTCCATAATTTGGCTCGAGAGCCATAGGGCACACCTCAGAACTGTGTCCCTGGACTCCGCATGCTCCACAAGCATTTACTTCCATCGTCTGAATCGGCGAGGAACTTCGAGCATTCAGTAGCCGCATCTGCTCCGTGAGCTCCGCTAACTGCTGGGCCATGGCATTATTACTCGAACCAACCTCATTCACTGTGGACCTCTTCCCTCTGATACTTTTCTGAGACGAATTGGCACTCATCGTCTCGTAGATCACAATCATCTCTTCAGCTGTTTTGGCCTCAATATCCCCTCCGGCTGCGTTATCCACCATAAACTGCAGGTTCTAGTGGAGGGAGTCGTAGAAACAATTCGCTAATAACCCTGGACCGAGGTTGTGATGTGGGCACTGCCGTTAAAGATCCTTGAATCGTTCCCAGGCCTCATGAAGAGGCTCGTTTGGCAGTTGAGCAAAAGAGACTATCTGGGACCGGATGTCTTGGGTCTTCTGATGGGAATAATACTTCCCGAAAAATTTCGAGTAGACTTCGGCCCAAGTTGTGAGAGAATCCGGTGTGAGGGTCATGAGCAAGGCTTTGGCTCAGTCCTTCAGAGTCTCCCGGAAGCATCTCATCTTTAGCTGGTCCTCGGTCAGTCCGTGAAGAGAGAACGACTGGAGGACATTGTAAAACTCCCGGAGGAAGTGGAGTGGATCCTCATTTGGAAGATCATGGAAAGACGGTAGCTGGTTATAATGGATAATCTTAAGCTCGTAGTTCCGAGCTTCTTGTGGCAACCGGATGCATGAAGTGATTGGCCCGATCATGGGTCAGGCCAAGTCTCGAAGGATGTTACGAGGCAGTTGTTGTTCGGCCATTTCTGAGTTACTCCCCTCGGATGATTCTAGAGAATGCTCGCCTTCTTCGTGTGATTCGAGAGTAAGCTCGTCTAGCAGCTCTCTCAGGCTCTCGTTGAAAGGTTTGTTGATTAGAGAAAGTTTACGTCCACTCCTGGTACGCATGCACTCAATTAAACAACGGGTTACGAGCACCAATGATAGATGAAAGAAAGTAAAATAAGAAAAAGAAACACCGAAAACAAGACAAACACAAAACCGAAGAGAAACACAAAAAAAATAAGATGAATAAGCGCACAAAATATGTCCTAAACCTTCTCTGGCAACGACGCCAATTTGTTGTAAATATTTTTCCGGAGTAGAATCGAAAGATTCGAACACCGGGTCGTGTCTCAAGAGGAAGGTCAGTCGGATTATTGTGCACGTTTATTCAAACACAAATAAAAGAAATAAAATTCCTAAAGATTTTAATTCAGATGGTTTGTTTTGGATTTAATTATTAACTACCAAGAGAATTTAAATTAAGCAATTGAAATAGCAAGAAACTACGAAGAACAATCAGGATTTAAGAAGTTAGGGAGTCGGGGATATCCGTTTTGGTTCGAAAATGCAATTATCAAGCAAGAGATTGTTCAGTTAAGTGATTTGACTAATCGACACGTTCAAGCACTCGTTCTCAATAACTTTTCGTAACAAGAGAACAAACTAGAACGGCAAATTAACAGTTCATTTAACTTCTAGGAAATACAGTTACGAACAAGCCTAGTTCATACGAGCCTATTTCGACCGACTCCTCCCTTTTCGGTTTTAAGAGTCGATTAAAGTAGAGTAGAAGGTGTTTCATCAACTAGTTTGTTTAGAATAACCAACATCAAGCAAGAATATATCGAACTCAATTGAAAACAATTGGGAATTGAAGTGTCACCCTTCAACAATTCTAAATACTCGAGCCCGATAATTGAAAAACCCTAGAAAAAGATCAACTCGCATGAAATTGAACAATCCTGAGCCCGACAATCACAAACGATATCAAAACATCAATACCCTATCCCTAGCATAAGGATTTAGCTATCATAATCGAATAATCAACAACAGCAATCACAACCCAAGAATTCATAATTAACGATTAAATTAAAAGAAATTACGATTGATAATTCTCAAGTTTGAATTCGATAAACAAGATTAATCCCAAAAGCAATGAAGAAATTCGAGTTCAAATTCGTGTTCAATGATGAAAATATGAAGGAAACGATGAAAAACAAGTGAAAGGGACCAGAGGTAGGGTTTTTCGTTCGTGAGAATAAGAGATCCTCTTTTATGTCGAAGTCCCTGTCTTATTTATATGCGCGTCAAAAAATCACGGCAAGAGTCTGGTACCACAGCACGGCAGGGGTCTTCGCGGCGCGGCAGGGGGCTGCTTCACGGCGCGGCAGGCTGGGATGTTGTTCCTCTGTCCAGGTCGCGGCAACAGTACGGCGTGGAGATGCCAGGCGCCGCGGAGCGGCAAGCTTCGTCACAGCGCGATGGATTGAAGCTCCGCGGCGCGGAAGATCCTTCACGGCGCGGCAACTGGAAATACGGCGCAGAAACTGGAAATCTGGTCTGCTGGTCTCAGTCGAGGTCATGGCAGCTTCGCGGCGCGGGGGGTGGCCTTGTCGCGGCGCGGTGGAGCTGCACGGCGCGGAGGCGGGGCTGGGCAAGCTGGTGGCCACTTTGCACTACTTCCTATCTCGGGCTCGTTTACATTCGTCTGGACTCAGAATTCAATTTCGTTTTCTCCTGTGCGTCGCCAACGAAATGATCTATTCAACTATGTTCACCCGATCCAATTACCATGAATAATAAATCTTCCCGAGTCTTTCAACCTGCACACCATTAACGACAAAAAACCAGAAAAATACCGAAAAACACAAAAAAGACTAAAAGAAAGCGAACCACGAAAAAAACTAACCTAAAAACCAATTAAAACACCTAAAATGAGGAAAAGTAAAGACTAAAAGACAACGAAAAATGCAACAAAAATGGGACAAACAATGTCCAACAATATTTTGTAATCTTATGAAAAAAGAAAAAATCTTCCATCAAATTGCAATGGCTCAAATAATTCAAAAGCCTTCCATAGTAGCAGTTCAAAGTCAAGATTGCGAAATGATAAAAATCTAAAATAACCAAATTTTTTATTACATCCGATCGCAGAAGACGGATTTGACCCAACACTGTCCCCGGATGACAACGTCACTCACTCACCTCAAATCCCCTTTCTGCCCCCATCAACTCTCTTAAACTTGGCGTCCTCTCACAAAAACCCAAACCCCTTTTCGTCCAATCAGCTAAAAACCTCCCTCTTGTCCCCATTAAACACACTTTCATTCAGCTAAACACACTTTCAGATATTTTCTTTCACTCTGACTCTGTACAAATCGCAAGACAAGGAAAATAGTGGGAAATAAATTAATAAATAAAATAGCAAATGGAGCACCCGTTCTTCACGGCGGGCTCCGCCACCCGCGCGGAGGCCATCCGGTGGCTCACAATCGCCGAGAAGCTCCTCTCCGCGCGTGACCTGCTAGGCAGCCGTTCCTTCGCCACGCGCGCTCGCGACGCCGACCCCACGCTCCCCTTCGCCGACGAAATCCTCGCCGTGGTAGACACGCTCCTCGCCGGGGACCGCCGGATCGGGAACAACCAGCCCGATTTCTACTCGATCCTCCGCCTCACGCCGCCGCAGGGCGGCGACGCCGACCTCGTCGCCGACCAGTACCGGAGCCTCGTCCTCCACCTCAACCCCCAGCGGAACAGATTCCCCTTCGCCGACCAGGCCTTCCGCCTCGTCGTCGACGCCTGGTCCGTCCTCTCCAACCCTTCCAGCAAAGCCCTCTACGACAAGGAGCTCGGGTTTTTCAACCCGCACCACCAACCTGACCCGTTCACCGCGCCCCTACCCGCGTTCCAGCAGAATTTCATTTTCCCCCAGCAGCCGCCGGTTCATGGCGGCGGCAGTAGCAGCGTGGCCGCAACCCAATTCGCTCCGCCTCAGCAGGTACAGGTCCAACCACCACCGCAGGTCGGACCCTTTTTTGGTGGTCCGACCCGGGTACCTCAGAATTTCATGGGTTTACAATCGGGTACCAATATCGGCTTCGGGTCAGTACCGAGTCATGAACCTGTCAATAATCCGATTGCTAGTCAGGGGCAAGAAAATTATTCAACTTTTTCTGGTTTTTTTGTAGATTCTTCTGCTTCTAGGGCAAAGCAGGAACAATTAAGTGATAAAATTAAGTTAAAACAATCCCAGCAAGATTACCCAATTGCTGGTAATAAAAGTAATCAACGTGTTTATGAGAATGTACAGGAGGATATAGACAATGTAGAACAGACTGTAGAAGAGAATATAGAAAATGTGGAAGCAACAATGGAGGAGGAGGATACTGAAAATCCTCCGGCGAACAATGATTTATTAACTTTCTGGACTGCCTGTCCTTATTGCTATTACATGTATGAATATCCTAGCATTTATGTCGACTGTACTATGAGATGCCAAAACTGCCAGATGGCATTTCAATGCGTGGTGATTCCTTCACCTCCGCCAGTCCCTGACGGTCAAGACGCATATTTTTGCTGCTGGGGTTTTATCCCTTTTGGCTTTTCGATAGAGGAATGGCAAAAAAATAAAATCCCTCCTCCTAAATGGAACCCCAGAAATTCGGGCCCTAGGGTTTACATTGACGATGATGAAGATGTTGACATTTTTGCGGATATATCCAGTTCGAGCGAGTCTGAGTCTGATATCGACTGGCAATATGACAGTTCTCAAAAAGGGAGGACAAAATCGTCATACGTAAAAAGAAAGGCAGCTGGTAGGACTCCCAAGAGGCGCTCGAGGAAAAAAGCAGCAGTGCAAGATGGGGCTAATAGGAAACAGCCTAATAGGATTGCAAAGAGTTTGGGGAAACTGGATTTGAATGTGGAGTTGAGTAATGAAGCTGAAGAGCGTGCTCAGAGTGTGAATAAAGATAACGAGGATGATAGCACTGAGGGGGTTGGGTTTTTCGAGGGTCTGGACGAGTTATTCAGCAACTTGCCGATTCTTAATGCTGTGGTTGATGACAAGGTTGTCAAGGCGGCTTGATGAAGCAAGTGAACCACTTTTTGTTGTTGTGGCTTCGAAAGGTACTATTCTGTTTCTGCCATAAATTTGACTTTTGGTGGTAATTGTTGTTTGGAAATTCGTACAATTGGCTGTTTTTTTTTTCTTTTTCTTCTTTCGGATGCTAAATGGAGTATATTTTTGGAGTTTCTGACGGTTATTTATGGTTGGCCCTGTGTTATTGGGATACTTGAGGTGTAGCAGGGTTGTTGGATTTTTACCCCCTTTAAAACCATTTTGAACTGTAAATGCATTTGTTAACCTCTTGGATTTATCTGCTTTGGAACACTTTTTTTAACTGTAAATGGATGTGATGATACACAATAGTTTTGTCGCGCATTATTGCTGTCGGATTTGTTTCTCATGTTGCGGTGTGGATAAGTTCTCTGTATTGTTTTAGAAATATCTTGTTGTAACTTAGGGAATCAAGGCTGATATATTCAGGTGCATCGTGGCTTATTTGCTGTCGGCTTTTATCTTAATCAGCTGATGTGTGATTGTCTGCATGGACCATTCTTTTCCACAAAATACTCCTAGATTTTATGCATTTTAGTTATTCGGTTCTATTGATAGACGAACAAGTTGATTGAATTGCTCAAAATAATGATAAATTAGAGTTCCATCTTTGGCTGGCGAGCACGTTTACTTTTGTAAATGATTTCTAAATTGAGCCTAGTCTTTTGTTTCTTTTGATTATCTAATGACTTTGAATCTGTTACTTATTAATAATTATCACATGACTTTATATCGCTAGTAGTTTGTCCCTGAAAATTCGCCTTTTTAGTCTTGTCCTTTCCCATCCCATAACGAGAGTGTTGTAAGAATCCGAGGTTTTTCTAGGATCAAAGGCCTTTTTGGTCTTATTTATTGTTTTTAATCTGTGTTGATATCTTCACAATATTACAGTACTTGCACTTATAGAAGGATAGCTCAAATCTCGTCTGTAAGATTTCATATTTTCTTTTGAAATCTTTCATGAAGGACCATTATTTTGAGGTGGTGTGGTGTGAGTATCAATGATATGTGGATGTCATGTCGTGTAAGAGCAGGACATTAGCGCACTCCTTAATGCAGTATTAATTGCTTTCTTATCTGTGATACATGCGCGTCATATTCTTATATGCAAATGTTAATTATTTCCATTTAGTTTAGCTTTTTAGAGTCGTAGTAGAAGTTATTGATATTTTGTTTCCGTTTAGTTTAGCTTTTTAGAGTTTGTACTTCAGATTCGTTTAGAGTTAGGAATGGAAGGTTTTTCTGGATGATAGTTGCTAAAGATGTAAAGAGAGCATATTTGAAATTATATGATGAGAATAGAAAGAGAGTGAATTTCTCTTTATTTGATCACCTGAATTTTCTGGCTTATGAGGTCCTCAATTTTCCATTGGGAAGCATATGCTATGCAAGGTAAAAGTGTTTTGTTGCCTTCTTTATGGTGAAGTTGTTAGTTATGTGCTTGCCAATCTTATGGGGCTTGCATGAATAATTATATTTGTGTCCTGATAATATTTATATGGTTGCTGTGCCTTTTATTATGTTTGCCTTAGTTGGAGATCTAAATGCCAACTATTTATTGCTTAAAATTTTGGGAGAGCATGCTAGTTTTTTAACAGTGTTTTACAAGTCGCTAGGCGCTTACTAGGTTTCCGACTAGTGCCTAGCGTCAAGAGCGCCTAGGCGGAGTCTAGAAATTAAGATTAAATATTTTATTTTCTATTTATTTTCACTACTTACAATATAAAATTATCTCAACTTATAATAAATTCACACCTTAGTTCAAATAATAATATTAATATATTATAAAGAAAACATGATATCAAAATAAAGTAATTAGTATTTTTTAAAAAAATTAAAAAATTGTTGTCGAGCCCGCCTACCCGTTGTCCAACCATCTGGCCGTTGAGCCCGCCTAGGAGCGCTTAGAGCATCTCCAATGTAACTGTTCACAAATAAAAAAATTAGCCGCCATGTCATTTGGATAGACATCGTCTGTTTATTATTTACTCCAATGGGCTATTTTGTGGGGCAGTGTTTCGTTAACCCCACTGTTTACGTCTAGAAGGTGAGTTCGACAGACACATCATCAGATATGATGAGAAAACAAACTAAAAAAATAGGAAAAAGAGCCGTGCAAATAATATTTAATTTTAATTTTGTGTAGATGAAAACCATTCTATTAAATTTGAAATAATTAATCGTATGTTGCAACTACAGTTTTAATATTTTTTTAGTAATTATACTTTCAACATTTTAAAAAACTAAACTACTTTAACATTTATTTTATATTTGTGAGCCAATTATTTTAATTCGAGGTGTCTATAATTAAAATTTTAATATTTTTTTTTCTCTCAAAGTTGTTACACACATTTTCTCAATTTTATTATTTATTTGGTTTTATTATAATTTTTTTATTAATTACACTTTCAACATTGAAAAAACTAAACTACTTTATTATATATTTTATGTAGTGGAGATAAAAGCCAATTTTTTACTTCGAAACAATTAATTGTATGTCTGTAATTGAAATGTTAATATTTTTTCTCAAAATTAGGCGTCACACACATTTTTTCATTTTTTTTATTTGGTTTTATTATAAAAGCTTTAATATCATTGTAGTAGTTACACTTTTAACATTTAAAAAATTAAATGACTTTATTATTTATTATATGTGAACACATATGAGTCTCCAAGTATGTTTAAAATGAGTCTCTAAATATTTTAAAATCACATTTAGGGTTATCATTTAACATTCTCAGCAAAAACACACCCAATGTGAAATGGCACCTGGTGTATTTATGTGGATTAACAAACTCACTGGGAGTTTTAATAATTATTCCTACTAAAAAGTACTAAAAATTTGTTCAACCTATTACAAATTTAAAAATCAGCAGAATCACATTAACAAGTATGAAAGAGAGTGAACCAAATCCCTACGAAAGAAATGTGTGCATTGTACGAATAATTTGACTGTTTTTATTTTCACTGTCAACGCTGAGATTAAGGGGATCAGTTGTCCAATTAAGTACAAGAACGTGGCATGAACATTTAACATTCACATTCAATACACTGGAGATGCTCTTAGGCTCGTCTAGCTGTCTGGCGATTTTTTTAGTCGATTCATGCAAATTGGAGACAGTCGGCCGGTCGATTTTTGGTACACTGGTTTTTAATTGTCATGCTATATTGCTAGAATGATTCTAGATTTGAATATTGAAAATATACCGGTAGATTTAATTAAACTCTACCAATGGCTGTTATTTCAACGATTTTTTTACCATTAAAATATATAATTTCCATTGGAGTTTTCATTTTCACCCATATTTCAACCGTTGGAATCGTCAAAATCCAACAGAAATTACAATGAATAATACATTCCATCGGAATATTTTTGTTGGAATTTTAGTTAGAATCCAATCATCTATTGGTAATTTCAATTGAAATATAACATTGGAATATCCATTGGAACTACCGTTGGAACTCCATTGGAATATATTTCTGTTGAATTTTTCTATTGGAATTTCATCATATTCTTGTAGTGTGTATTTTTTTTTTAAAATTAAAAAAAAAATAGGTATTTAGAAAAATAAAAAACTGATAATAAGAATATAAACCGTTAATAATTAGCGTTTACAATCTTTTCGCCAAGTTCATTTTTACTAAATTCCAGTGTTGACAATTTACAAATAAAATAAAATAATGAATTGCTAAATTAAGATGAGATATTTAAACGGAAAGTAATTTAATTAACTTTAAACTAGCCCGAAATAATATAATATATTCATATAAATAAATGTGTGTGTACGTGTGTGGTAGATATATTTTATTTTAAGTAGATCAAGATTTTTTTATTTTTTTTCTCTTTTTAGTAGTTCAAAAATAAACTTTATAACATAAACCATGTAACCTTCAAATTAATGAAGTCCACCAATAACACCCCATCTTTAATATCTACAACATCTACTTAATTTGAGTTAGCGTTACATTTGTTGTCGTCTTGTATCCCAAATGTGTACTATATAATAACCCAACAAATGCCACCACCTATTCAGCATCAATCAAACAATAACTTGTGCGTGTTTTTAACTAAAAATGGGTCGTTTTACTCCAATTTCATTCTCTATCCTACTAGGGTTAATTTTTCTTATTTCATCAATGGATGCTCGTCTAACATTTACGAATGCTAGACGGACCCTAAAATCGAGCACACCAGATAATATTGATGTGGAATTTGGATCTCCTGAGCCCGCTCCACTAGCAAGCCCAGTATTTGCTCCTTTTCCGGCAACAATCGAGGACCCTGATTCAGAAGAAGAGTTTGATTGGCTGTGGGATGCATGATTTTCTTCAACCCTAACAAAGCGTGTTCATGTTGCTGAAAATCGAGCAAATTGAGTAGAATGGATCGACATAAGTGATATATAATTATTAAATAATTTTATTTATCGTGTAGAAAAAAAAAGAGAGAATTTTACTACTACTTAGCTATATTATATTATAATGTGTATAGCTCTTGTACGAAAAAAGAGTTTGGTATGGCAAAAAAGATTTATTTATTTGTTTTTGTGTTCTTGTGACGTGGCATTTACAAATTGGTCATGACTAGCCCGGCCAATAAGTAAAATATTTTGAAATTTATTTAATTAAGGTTTCCAGAATATTCCATGGTAATCGATCACTCAGGTTATTGGCTCACATACTTAAAAACTAGAAATACGTAGTACAAAATAACAATCAAAATAAAATTTACTAGTACGTAGTCCGTGCTTTCAGATGGCCTATTCATTAGGTTTAAAAAAATAGAGTTAGATCATCTATTCTACATCTCTTTTGATCATCGTTATTTTTTTAGTCATAACGTTAAACCTCAACCTATTAGCTCTAGTATGTAAATTAATTATTAGCTCTAATATATAAATTAATTAATATATTCTCTCGCTAAAATGTTGATACTAATATAAATTTGATTTTAGTATATATATTTATTCTTTAATATAAAAACTAATAGTTTTACATATTCTGGTATAATACTTAATTTATTATTTTATCATAAAATTTATTGTCATTATAAATTTTTTAATAAATATTTTAAAAAATAAAAAAAATATTTATCTATTTACAAACTCATTATCTCGAGTTTGAAACCATAAATTTTATTCTTCAAATAAAATTTGGAAAATTTTAACTTGTAATCAGAGATGAATTTGAATTGATTTGAAATTCCTGATTTGAAATTCCTAATCCATCTCAAATTTATTTTGTGAAAAAAGGCTATCTAAAATGTTTATACCAAGAGTTCTAATATTTTTAAATTGTAAAAAGTCTTCATGCAAAATATCTCTACTGACTTTGGCGGACCACAATATCGTATTTGATTCAACCAATTAATTAATTTTAAAAAGTAAATAGTTGTGTATGTATATGGAAAAAATTTGTAAATTTAAATTCCAAAACCAATATCGTATGTAATGGGTTTATACCAAGTTCCCAGTTTTTTCAAAATTGTATAAATCCTTCATGCAAGGAATCTTCACTAATTTGGGGACCAACAAATTACTTAAATTTAGGAAGGCATAAATTGTGTACGTGGATACTGTTTTTATTGTATGTTTAAAGAAAATAAATTCAAAAATGGTATTGATATGAGATTATATCATAAGGGATTTAACAAAAATACAAATTTTTAAGATACAATTTGATTTGAATTTTTCAAATTAAATTCCACTTTTTTAGGCCGCCTAAGTCAAATGATGATAAGGATTAATGTTAAAAAAAAAAAGAAAAAAAAATCCAAAAATAATAAGCAATTAATATTGTCCTAAAATTTCTAGTTACTATTTATGGTAAATAGTAATTCTTATTATATATATATAGATGACTGCGACTGTCAGAAATACATGCGGAAAAACAAGACAAATACAACCAGTTATCAGAGTTGCAAAAGAAGACCATGGAACGTATTTATTAGGCACATAACTTGGAAAATCATGTGTAGATAATAAGGGGAATTTACAAACTCCAAAGTGATAGCAAAATTTTAACATAAAATCCAATCATCCTTGTGCATGTTAAACAAGGTTGAACCGGTAATTACTTTCATTTTTTATCATTAAAGATTCCATTTTTAACAAAAGTTAAGTTCAATTCATATATCAACAGATAGAAACAGGACCATGTAGAATATAAAATTAAATAACTTAATGCCAGTATCCTGACCACAAATGGAAATAATTAAGACCTTGTTTGCTTTGATGCTGGTCATATGAGTTTTCCTGGTCCTTCACTTCAGTATTTGTGTCAGTTCATGCTTGTAAGCTTCCATCTCCATTGGTCTGTGCAGTTATGGAACTATCACTCAAGGGAAACATCCGAATAGATGTCCTGCTCCGAAGAATTCATAGCTTGTAGCAAAAGATACAATTAGAATTGATATATATAAGGAAATACAAAGTCACACTGATGGTGGAGCTAAAAAATCAAATTGTAATACAGAATAACAAGATGTGTGCATTGGAACTCTTCAAGGTTAAGCTCTTGCCTCAGTCCCAGAGAACAACTGCGAACAAGGAAAAGTTTGCGTACGATGAAATGCAAATCACAATCCAAAGTTTCATCTTTGTGTGTTTCTCGTACGAAAAAGTGCAGAACAAACTAACTGTAATCAACACCTTTTCCATTTCCAGATTATCAAGTCAAAATATATATATATGCACACAAAGGTTAGAAAACATATAATTTCTACAACTCATAACCATATAAATTATGATTCATACTTGACAAAATGAACAAGAAGAACCCAAATTAAGGAGGAAAAAACAGAAACGACAGAAAAGAACTCCAACACTCACTTTGACAAAAGATGCAAAAGCTCAATAAGAGTCACAACACTGAGACAAACCACTTCAAGTAGCAAAACCAGCAAACCATCAGAAAACAAAAACAATAACACCATATCCACTAAGGGGGTGATTGGATATGAATTCAACTAGTAAAAACTAGTTTTTTTTTTTTAACTATAGTTAAGTTTGAAAAAAAGTAATATGGTTAAATGTTAGTGGATATATTAAAATAATATTTAAATTAAAATAATTAAAGTTGATTTGATGTAAAAGTAGGAGAAAATGATTGGAAGTGATGGTTAGTTAAAATTATGTGGGTGGATGAATAGTGAATTAAAGTTGATGTGATGTGTAATAATAATTGTTTGATATTATTTAATTATATTGATAATATTGAAGATAGTGGAATTGAGTTAAAGTTGAGTTAAATTTGAATTTTGAGTGGGATATTTACTGTACAACTTATAAACAATCACACCCTAAATGACTCGCATGTACAGATAGTCAGATACTACGTGAACATCGGCTGTGAAATTTACAAAACGTATAAAAAAAAATTAAGGAAAACCCTAAGAAAACCATTAAACGCACCATTGAAGAAAAATGCCCAATTCCATTTCACAATAAATGATGAACTAATCAAGCAAAGATTGGGAGGCAATTGAAAAACGCCTAGATACAATTGCAGTTTTATCCTCATAATACCTTCATATTACGCAGAAGTAGTCTATTAGACTATTAGAAAGCTAGTGGTACCCACTGTCGCAATTTTACGATCTTCAGCCAGAAATTCAAAGTTCACAAAAAGTATCTAAACCGACACAAATTCCGAATTCCTTTTTACGTTTTCCGAACGGTGGCGTTTGCGGTACTCATCCACAAGATGCGCTATTGGTGGGGAAGTAGGGTGCCTTACGGCCAAGGGACTCCCTGGATACACCAAATCCTCGGTAGTACTCTCTGCACCAACAATCGCACCTTCCGAATTAATTGCCTCAATAGATCTGGTCTTAGTCGCTTTCTTTCCCTTGGCTCTTTTCCGATTAACCGACGCTCCTGGATTCACCAAACCCTCTGTGGTACTCTCTGCAGCAGTAGTTGTACCACCCGAAATAACAGAATCTCCACCTCCGCTCTTAGTCGGCTTCTTCCTCGACCCGTTGTCTCTTTTCCGTGTAACCGAGGATTCAGGCACGGTCAGCAGAGAGGTGATGTGGCACTCCTGCCAGTTCAGGTCTTTGAGGTCCTTTATCACCTCCTCCAGCCTTAAGCTTGTGTCCCCTGACACGCCGCCGTCAAGCAAAGTCGAGCGGCGGAGATCCATCAGATCTATCGTCGATATCATATCGACCAGTAGACCCTAAACAGATATTTCTATGAGAAGCAGCCAATGACACCAACACAAGAGCAATAAAACTGGAGAGAGAGAGAGAGAGCATGAATAACGAAATTGAAAGCAAATAATTGCAGTGGTCAATTCGCGCGCCTTCGGGAATTTCCTCTTTTTGAAGCCGTGAATCGAGACGATCTGCGTCAGAGAAAAAACAAAAAGAAGGAAAAAAAAATAAGACGAAGGATTCAGCACTGGAATTTCAAAGCATTCACAAAAACCACTGTTCTCAACGGAAAGAAGCACACAACAAAAATCGAAGATCTTAATTACGAAGCGAACAGAGTTTGTTGGATGAAGGAATTATACAAGCGGGTAAATGATGCAGAGAATAGCTCTTAAGAGGACGGAATTACTACAGCACTGTGTGCTCGAGTGTGGGGGAAAGTGAAGAGATGAGGTTTAACCTGAGCGAGCTGGGAGACGGTAAGATCAAGAGTGCGGTCTTCAATGAAACCGAGATAATCTCCCACGGACAGCTTCTTCTGCTTCGTCGCCATGGTAGTGGATTCTTCTCCGTCGGTCGCCATAGCGTAGATTTCTCTCTGAACAATACTTGCTTCTCTCTCTCCCTCTCTCTCTCTCTCCCTCTCCCTCTCCCTCTCCCTCTCTAGCCGTATGTGAGAGTGTGACAAAAAGCGTGCGTCTGCAGACTGCAGAGCTGCCGGGCCGCCACTATATATAAATGACGAAAATCAGAGAAGGCTAGATAAAATCCAGCCTGGGAAAGAAAAAGGAAATAAAATGGAAAATGAAAACCAAAAATAAAAAAATTAAAAATGAGAAGGAAATGGGTTCACATTTTTATTTGTTAGTTGTTACGAATTACTAGTAACCGAACTATGCATTTGAACATAAGTAAATAAAATAATACTACCTCCTTTTTTTTATAAACTAGTGCGTTGCCCGTGCGATGCACGTAAAAATAATATTATGATTGTATTATAAATTAAATATATAAATAAAATTAATCATTATTTATCTATTATTTTTTAAATTAAATCGGGTTGGACACAGTCTGATCGGATTGATCGAGAACCGGCTTATAACCAGTAAAGTTTGCTTGAATAAAATATTTGCTCTCGAATCCGTCAACACTAATCAGTTGGACTGGTAGGATCGATACGATTTTCTAAATAAATTTTGTTATATTTAAATTTATTTTAAATAAAATTACATATTTAAATAAAATAGAGATTTATAAATTATTTATTAAATAGTTTAAACATTTGAATTTATAAATTATTTAGATATCTAAGTAACACATTTTATTTAAAAGTATTACAAAAAGTACTATATATATATATATATAATCTGAACAAACCACAAATGATTTAATAAAATAGCTTGATCGTTTCGATGACGGTCCAGTTTTGAAAACCTTATATTTACTGTATATTAATAAATATTATAGTAAATATTATTTAATTCACATAATACTAATAAAATGATATATAATATTCATAAATCATTAAACATGTTGTCATAAAAATATTGTTAATACGATTATTTAAAATTTGGACTACATCACATTCACGTAATAAAATATTTTTTAATATAAAATTTATATTTAGGTTCAATAATCGATTTGGTATGGTCGAACTGATACATAACTTAGTCATCTGGGACCAACCAAGTTATGTCAAGTTTTTTGACTATTTTAAATATCACCTCAAAGTAATTCAATCAACTGCCCTAATTCAATCGCATGATTGATCCGAAGAAATTTTTTTATTTTCTTTAAATATATTTAATTTTATAAAATAAAAATATAGTATGATTCATATAATAAATGTCTACACCAAATGATAGTATATTAAGATTATAAATTATATATCTAAAGATGAATTAATTATTTTCACTTTATTCATATTAATAAAAAATAAACATAGTAATTTTCAAAAAAATTAAGATTAATTGATTGATTATGAAATTTAAAGAATATTCTTAGCGTTCAATATTTTTTTAAGACACAAATATAAAGACCGAGATTCTAAAACTTTTGTTATATTTCGTAAAGACCGAGATTCTAAAACTATATATATATATAGATTATTGAAATATACTAAAATTTGAGAATCATATTACCTTGATTTTATAAGAAATCAACCTAAAATCCGACTATCATACTCGTACCAAATAAAATTTATACAGTTTATTTTATTTTCAAAATGTTCAAATGCACTTTTATCCTCCCAAATAAAATTCATATTATTTAAATATGGACCTTTTATACCAAAATAAAACCGCTTACTTCATGCCATATATTCGAACATTTATTAATAACACATTTCCTACCAAAAATAAAAATGTTCATCAAATACATCAAATAAAATCGCTCACTTTATACAAAAATCAAATTTATTAATTTTGTCAATTTTATACATATATTTCTTAATTAACTTCTAGAGTCGTGATTTTTGAAAATTTTAAAAAAATATTACTAATTTTAGTAATTTTAAAATTTTTAGACGGGATTTTAGTTTTTATTCCAAGTAAATATAAATCTTTATATATATTATGTGTGTGTGTGTGTGCGTGCGTGTGTGTGTGTGTCGACTTGTAATAATATGCATTGACGTGATAAAATACTATGTTTATCAGCAGATAAATATATATAAATATAAATATGTATTGACTTGTGATAATATGGATTTGTGACTATCTATTTTGTTTTAACATTTTTATTTTTAACATCGATTGGAAATGTGATTTTTTAAATTATTTTGTTTCATTATACAATAGATTTAGTTTTCCAAATCATAATATGAATAGCAAGCAGTTTTCCAAATGATATATATGAATAGCACACCATGTAAATCAAATGTTTACCACACAAATCGCTATGACATAAAAAAAGGATAATGTATCAGAATTTTTCCAAAAGCAATTAATTATAAATTCAATCTAGTACTCGAAACTCATTTAAAAAATTTAACCAAAAATAAAAGTTTAATCTCATTTCGAAATGTAATCAACAAATCTGCTAACCAATTTGATAAAATAACAGCTATTCTTACCATGAAAAAATCGGCACGAAATGTAAACAGCAAATCTGCTAACCAATTTGATAAAATAAGAGTTATTCATACCCTAAAAACATCCGCTTTTCAAGGCAAAATTGTTAGAATGCATTTAATGCATTCGATTGGTTTATAATTAAAACGTGTTTTAAGATGCCTTTTATAGTATGTAATTAATGATTTTAGAGGGAAAAGCTTTCTAAAATTGATTAATGTTAATTCTTATTATATATATATAGATGTCATTTTCGCTTTATCAACAATTGTCTAAATAAATGACGTTTTGGATCTTTTGTACATATTTTTCCATTATTACCCTTATCTAGCTAATAAATACACTACGTCTTTTCATATTCACTCTTTATATTTTCTCAAAACATCCATCTCTATCCTCATTAATGAGGGTTATTATTGACAAAAAAAATATTCTTAATTAGTGTGCAACTTCTCAAAACGACATCTATTAAAAAAAATGAGGGAGTATAACTTATTTGTACGTATAACATATAATATTAAAATTATAAGTTAAATAATGATATTATATTTTAAACATAAGCATCATAAGTTATATTTATACATTAATATTAAAATTATAAGTTAGCTAATTGTATTATGTTTTAAATTTTGATCATTAGCTGAAAGATATTAAATTTATTATAACAATTGCTTATATATTTTTAAAGAATTTTACTATGACATTAAGAATAATAATAATAATAATAATAGTAGTAGTAGTAATAATAATAATAATAACAGATTGTAACGGTTTTTTGTGTTAGGAAAATTGTCACGTAGGTAAAATTTATGAGGTATAATTTAATGTTTAGCTATCAACTAGTATTCGACCTGTGCATTTGCACAGATATAAATAAATTATTGTGAGTTTGCACATATAATGATTAATTGTTTTTCTTTCACTTTTTTTCAGACCAAATTTACAGTTAAAAGAGTTGGAATATTTTTTTTTTTAAATTGCGTTTATCTGATTGGATGTAATGTACATTTTGGTACGTCTTTTATTTGTGAATTATTTATTATTTATTTAGGAATTTCAAATATATTTTTTATTTTAAAAAAAAAAATTAAATGTAACAACAATAATAACATCTAATCACATTATACAGTCAACACATTATATGGTCAACTGTCATTAATCAAAAGTTTAAAATGATTTTTGTAATTTTGAAGTGATGAGTATTAATTATTTAATGATTAAATGAAGGATTAAATACATCAAAATGTAACGGTTTTTGGAGGGAAAATTGTTAAATTGCCACATAGGTAAAATTAAATAGGTTTTATTAAATTCTATTAGCTAGTAATTATATATATATAGATTATATATATATATATACAATTATATATATATATATATTTAATTCGTGGCAAGAACCTCATCACAAAATATAAGATTTCTTGTACTGTATAGTCAAACTATTAATCTCAATCACTTATTTAAATATAAATGATATGCGACTGTGAAGTTAAAGATGATTATTGGGTCATTAAGATAATACATCACATTAGGTTTTACAATTCTAATGTGTGTATATTCACAGTTATTCTACCAAAATTAGGTATCATATTTAAAATAATACTAGTACACGTAGTAGTCATGCAATTAGAGATGTTAAATGGTCTTTGGTTCGACAGGCCGGCCAGTTTAGCTCGGAAAAAAACAGGGTTAGGTCCCTTTATTAGTAGCCCGTTTAAATTAGGGTTTTTTTGGTCCGGACCGTTTAGCCCGAAGTCTGTTAGGGCTAGCCCGAAAACTGCTAGGGCTGGCCCGTTTTACTAGGGTTGGGCGGTGTAAATGTTTGCATCGAGTAAGTAATATGCTCTTAGATTCTTTGTATATTACAATTTTGCTATTCCACTTGACATGTAAGTATGAGTTATAATGGATTATTATGATTTTGAAAGATAATTATTAACAATAATGTCATTGTACTTGAAACCAAAATATTTAAGCTCATCAGAACGATTTATAGGAAACATATGAAACATATACTATATAGTGATAGACGGTAAATACTAAATAACCGTTGAAAACAGTCGTTTACTAGCCGTTATTATTTTTTTTATATTTTTTACTCTTTTTATTTTTAATTTTTTCTTATATATTATTATTATTATTAAAGCCCGCATAGCCCGTTTAGCCCGAAGCCCGCTAGGGTTAGGGTTAGGTCCTTTTATTTACAACCCGTTTAAATCCGGGCTTTTTAGGCCCAGACCGTTTAGCCCGAAGCCCGCTAGGGCTAGCCCGTTTAACATCTCTACATGCAATGCATTGGTTTACAGATAATAAATATTTTTTTACTATTAACTTTTGCTTGCAGTTGACGGATTTGCTCCGCCATTCTCTCAAATGCTCGATCCCGATGTCCACCTCCATCCCCATTGGTCGACTCGTCCATCTTTTTGTCTTGTTGGTTTATAACCACCATCGTGGTCGGCGCGGTGATGGCGTGTGAAGTCTGGTGTGTAGCATGCTGCACCGCTCCGGCTGCGATCGCGTTGGCGATCATCTTCTCTAGACACCGTCACGAGCTACCCTCTTTCGGTCTCACTCCTCGCCGGCCCACTAGGTGGTGGTCGGATCGGATCTGTCTGTGGCTGCGCTGGAACGTCGCTCGAGCCTCTTGCACTTGACTCAAGCTCGCAATGGCAGCAGGGACAACCGATGAACTCCATAAGCCTATAGGACGAGACATCGAGGGTCATCGGTGTCTGAGAAGGTCCAGAGAAACCTGGCAGCAGGCTTGCTCCGAATGGACGCGTGTTCGGCCACACATCGTCAAAATTCTACTTCAAGTTTTTTCTGGAAATTTCGCAGGCCATGGATATGGTGATTGATGTCTTTTCAAACGAAAGTCCCATAGACGGCGCCAAATGGTATGTCAAAGACCTCCGATCGGCTAGAAACGACTAGATCTCGAGCTCTTCGCCGGTTCAACGCCTTTATACCTGCATAGCTCTCACACTGGAGGGGTTTTCTGGTGAAGAGCCTCCAATTATTAAGTTAGCACTTGTAGAAGATGAAGTGCAGTATGTAAATGTATGTAGAGAGTGTAATGTGATAACAGGCATACCTCACTCATTTACATCACAAGAGATGGGCTGCCTAAGTAGCCTTAACTGTCCGTTCTGCCCAATTATGTTAGGCCACGTGGCCCAATCCACGTGCGACTCTTAACCCCTTAAGATTCCTTCTTATCGCTTAGTTTATCCAATTAGACTAGCTAATGGTGCGACCAAATTGAGGTCTGCTGAGGTAGAACGTTGCTTGTTCTGAGATAAAGTGTTGTCCATTATGGTCGATCGTATGACCGGCCACGCCGACAGATCGAGTTTCCTACAGGCCATCCAAGGGTCCTAGCTCGACCTGTCGTTGCCTCCCTGAACCCTTTGCGCTGTCTTCGATCTAAAGACTTCTGGTCCTGCGTTGGTGGTGTTCGACCAGTCTGTTCGCTTGGTTTAGTCGATCGATTTACTAGGTTTCTTCTACCATGGTCAAGTATCCCATACCAAAACTTAAGTTGTTAATATTTTATTTTTAATAGAAAGTTGTTTTTTGTTACGATACGTCGACATCCAATATCTTGTTTGTTTTTTTTCACAACATGTATTATTAATTTTTTAAGTTACAATAACAAACCTTTTTTGTTGCTTTTAGCTAATTTAGTTGCTATGTATGTATATAAGCTATTGATCAATCTCTTCATTTAATTTTTTATTTTTTTTACTGGTGTTTTTCTTATGCATTCATATTTGTAGAAGAAGAAGAAGAAGAAGAAGAAGAGAGAGATAAAAAACGTGGAAAAGAAGAAGAAGAAAAAGGAAAAGAATAGAGAAAAAACGTGGAAAAGAAAATGAAGAGAGAAGAAGAACCTTTTAATATTTGGAATTCTTATTTGTTTATGTTCACTTAAAGTATTAATTTATCTATCTATCATTATATAAAAAGAATAACCTTTTTACAAATTTAGAAACTTTTTCCCGCCAAAATCATTAAATATATCCTATATATAGTAATTGTTGGACAAATCTGAATAGGCAAAAAAATCTGCTAATTAATTGTGTAAAGATTTGTTTCTCTTTTTCCTATTTCTTAGTTTATCATTTTAATAATAAATATTTGTTTTTCTTTTTCCTATTTTTAGTATAAATCTACACGAGCTTATCTCTTCTGTTACAAAATCTCATTGCATACGATCTTAGGTGTTTAAAAAATCTCATCTCTTATCTATACAGATTTGAAAAAATAAAATAAAATAGAAATCAATTCATAATTACTACTAGAAATCCATTATCTTTAAAAAGAAAAAATAAAATAAAATAGAAACTAATTCATAATTACTACTAAAATCCATTAGCTACTTTAAGAAGCTAATTTTCATCGGTCTAATTACTAATATTTTTACAAATATTCTAAGCTAACCATACAAAAAAATATAATAATAATTTTGAAATGGTGTATAATCAATTTTTTTTTTATATTCTCTTATACAAAATCATTTTACATTGTTTGACCCCGAATCTTTAATTTATAATTATTAAGTATTATTTATCCTCCTCTATTATTTATAATTATTTTTTTTTCTTTCTCTTTTTAAATACGATCAATAGTAGTTTTCACTTCCGCCATTGACTCAAACTCGAGGTCTATTTATAATATTGTTAATTTAATATTGTTCCCGTGCATCGCACGGGGTACACACTAGTTTTTGTGAATTGCTAAACACCGCTCTTCTTTTACTACCTCCCACCCTTAGAATTGATTATCTTATAAAATTCATTATTATTATGTTAGAACTTAAAAATTATTATGTTATGAATTATAATTGATAATTTTGTAAAATTATTTCTTAAATTGTTCAAAATTTAATTAGTATTAGATATAAATTTTTATATATGGAAAAAGTATTATTTTAAAATTTATTGTTGTTAGTAGACAATAATTATATATATTATATTATTGTTTTTTTTACAAATAATGAGTATTTTGTTACAAATAACTAGTATTATGTTATATAACATAATAATTTCTATGTTTTAACATAATAATAAAATTATATAAAAGAATCAATTATAATATATAACATAATAATTTCTAAATTTTAACTAAAAGATAATAAGTTCTAATTTATAACATAATAAATTTTAACATAATTTATATAATAAATAAAATTTTGATTAGTAAAAATAAAAATTGCGCGGCCTACCGACGATTGCGGTCGACCACCGACGATTGCTACCGACCACGTGGTTGGCCGGCTGACCGCCATTGCGAATTTTATTTATTTATTTTTTAAAAAAAATGTTAGAGACAAAATTATTCAAAAGGGACGGTACGTAGTAATAAGAGGCGGTAAATAGTAACACCTTTTATTTTGTAAGTGTTTGTACCGGAAAGTGTTTGTACCGGAATTCTTGGTGCGGATAATTTTCATGGAATTTTTTCTTTGGCAGATGTGTAAATTGGCTTGGAGTTGTTCGCCAGTTTCAAATTACCGGGTTATTGAAAAAAAGCCTGGCCCATATAATAGTTCTATATAACAAAATAGGCCCAATGGTATAAATTGGCCAACTCCGACCATCACAGTTTCTATAAAAGCAAATCAGAGGGGACTACAGAAATGGAGTTCAGGAACGAGATACGAGCCAGAGAAGAAAACAAGCGAGCTAAAAGAGGGAAGAGCAAAGGGACATGGCTTCGTGGGCAGATGGTGCAGGCGAAGGTTCCGCCGCGGTCTCCTCCTCCGCCGCCGATGATGGCTCACCCGTCGGTATGTGCGAATTTCTTGGCCTCCCTCCTAATTAGGGGTTCCGGCAGAAGGCGCGCTAAGCACCGCAATATCTTTTTTCTTTTTTTCTTTTTGGATTAATTGGCAGATGACGAAGACGAGTATGAGGAGGCGGAAGGGGGAAATAGCCTGCTCGGGTTCATGTTTGGAAATGTGGACAACTCCGGGGATCTTGATGTTGATTACCTTGACGAGGTTTGCCTCTTTTAATTATTTTCTGTTTCAAATTTTCATAATTTGAAGCTATAGGGTGAAATATATTAAGGAAGAGAAAAAAGTGATTTCATTCCATCTGTCACCTTCTTGGCTGCATTTGGTGGGTATCACCTGCGATTGAGTATGTGATTTGAAGTTATTTGGCGGAGCTGAACTTTTGGTTTGCGCTAGAATTTGCGCCTAATACATGGGTGGTATTGTAGAGTGTAGAGAGGGAGTAAACGAAGAAAAAGATGGAAGCTTTTACAAGCAGTGACAGTTGAAAATGGGGTTTAGGGTTTCTTCTGCCTATTTGAAGTATGAGCCAGGATAGTATCTTTTAGGAAGGTTGAAATTAGAAACTAAACAGTCTGATTTGTAAGCTCAAATGATGGATTCATTTAATTTCATGTGAATGTTAATTTTCTAATTTCGTCAGACTTCTTGGCTTTTCTATTAGACGGAGAGTTGCTGATATAAATCAGAATGATTGGGATGGGTGGGCTTTATTGAGGATGTTGATGTTGAATTCTTTTCTACTGCAAGATCTTCCTTGTTGTCATCCCTTGTACCAAAGATTTTGGCTTACTGCAATTCTTAGATAATAGTGAGATTGTTATTGTGTTTCTGTCACAAAGTATCCCGTTTTCCAATTTCTAATTCTTTAAGAAGGATTTGTTTCCTCCCATATAGAATGAGGAAAATTGCAGCCCATAAATATGTGTTTAGAAGCTTTACTTGCAGATTCTTATGGAATTTCAGCTTACACCTGCTTTTTCCTGCAAACAGTGAGTTTGATTATAAATAACACAAGTTCGATATGCTACCTGAGTTGGTCCAAGCTTGTGGATTGTTCAGTTTAGTAGTATACATTATTAAATTCTGAGAAGAATTAAAACGGTAACATGTAAACATTTTTGTATCCTACAAATGTTGAAAGAATTTGTAATCTAGCCCTAATTATGAATTATGGATCAATAAGTAGAGCCGATGACATTGTTTAATAATATGTACAAATCCATATATTCCATGAATATTCAAATGGAAGAATATTGCAACAAAATTACTGGAAAATGCTATAACAAAGATGTGATACAATATATGGGCTAGCAATTCAGTAATTTATCTTTATAAGTATTCTATTCACTAACATTAATTTATATAGAGTTAATTCTATTAATTATATAATTAGTGCTATTCATAGATGCTGCTATGTATGGGCACGTTGCAACCACTGACCCTATATTAACTCGCAGTGTTTCTTGTTCGTTAGTAGCTTATACCATGTTATTATACACTACTGCCTGGGGAATCTGCGCTGTTAGGCAAATTATTTTTGTCGCTTGCTCTGACCTACAGCATATTTTCTGTTCTTTTGATCAGAAATAATGCACGGCCACTGACCTTCATATCAAATTGTTGTGAGCCTATGTCTTAATTACATCATACACTCTCATAACAGAATCAGAAAGTAGTACTAAAAGCTCGTCTAGTAAATGAAGGATTAAGAAATATCTGTAGAGTACAGGGTACAAATAAAGAGTGCTTATGTTCTAAAATCTATGAAATACCTTTTTTGAATATAATCTTAATCTTCTACACCCCACCTCAGCCCTCCTTACCACCACCTCTTTAGTTACTGGCATTTATTCTTTTTGTGATCCATGCATGCTAAACCATGACTCGTCTTTCAGGATGCAAAGGAGCATCTTGCTGCATTGGCTGACAAGCTTGGTCCATCCCTGACAGATATAGATGTATGGAATCTTCGACCCACATCTCAACCATGGTTTTGAATGCTGTATCTGATAGTGTTGGCCTTTGTTATGACTGTGACACCCTCGTCCACTGATCACACTTACCTTTGAGCTTTATGCCTGATGATTATTGCATAATGGTTTCCATTTTCTGTGGTTCAGCTCTCCGCAAAATCACCGCAGACACCGTCCGATGCTACTGATCAAGGTGGTGATTTATTCTGGGGGACACTAAACCTAAGCTTTGTAAATTTCCTGTAGCATTGTTTTCTTAAATTGTAGTACCCTGCTTTGTTAAAAGATCATTATTTTCCTCCTTGGTTTAATTGGATTTTTTTGGACTTAGTAATCTTTTAGTGCTACATTACGATTTTGAGTTGCTGATGTTAAATAAAACCTTGCTGCTTCATCACCTGCCTCAGTTTTCTTGATGCTATTACTATTTGGTTTTGAATATGTAATGTTTGAATGAATATGAATTGGTGGAATATTATTTGAAGATGATACTATGTGGAAGCATCCTTACTTTTTAATGGACTTGGGACAACTTGCATGTGGACTTCGTAATAAGATTTTGATGCATATTGTTGAAGTCGTTGACACTCATTTTTATGCATAATTCAGAGTACTGACATATGATATCAATTGATATGTTTTCTGTAATATGTTCGATTCTATCCTTATATCTGATCAGCTCATGCTTTCTTAGTGTTATCAATGGTGAATGGCGGAAAATAGCGGCAGGATGAAATACCGCCTTAGCAGCCTGTGGTGCTTCATAAACGCCATTCATAAAAATTTTCTAATGGCGGTTAGGCAGAATCCGTCACGCCATACAAGCATGGCAGAATTTGGATTTTGATAACACTGGACTTTTTTTTATTAATTCACGATTCATGATGCTATTGGTCATCTATGGACCTATATTAACATCAGTGCTGCTGACAGTCTCTGTTTTCAGTTCAATCATATAAGTTTAAGTTACCTTGGCACATAGTTGCTAAAGGCCTCGGCAAGAGCAGATGCGACAAAAAGAATGCCTCACTAGTGCTTGGGGAAGCAGCCAAAGCTGGCGCCTCACAAACTCATACTTTTTAACGTGGTCTTTTTTTTTTTAAATGTTTTAACACTTTTTGAAAGCGATAGGTTATTTAACCCTTTTGTTTTGTCAGATAAATGTAAACAGGCTTTTTTTGAATTATTCTAGCTAACGTTGTTGTTTTATTGAACATTTCTTCCCCTGAAATTATGTTGATTAATTAATGAACTTCTCTGTTCGGGAAGGTGGGCTTTTTGCCCGTTTTCTACTGTTCTGATAATTTGTATATTAATGTTAAACAGTATTTTGTTAATATAATATCGAATATTCTAGGTAATATCCTTGTCATTTTATTGTTATCATTTTTCGATTTTACTTGGCTTGTGTTCATGAGGTGTTAGGCCATGAGCATTTCACCCTTTAAACAGATATTGACGTATGTAGACTTGTGTGCTTGCACATACTCATTTTCTTGTTACCGAAATGTGCTGTGACACTTCTATTCCTCATTGTGCCTGTGGTCATAATTCAGGATATTCTTTCTTCTCTAGATTATGATCAGAAAGCAGAAAATGCTGTTGACTATGAAGATATAAATGAGGCATACGAAGGACCAGAGGTCCATGCTACGGAGGAGGACTTTCTGTTGCCCAAAAAGGATTTCTTTTCCAAAGAAGTTTCAGTATCTTCTTTGGGGAATAAGACTTCTGTGTTTGATGATGACAATTATGATGATGAAGATGAAGACGAAGATTTGGAAAACCAAAAGACGGCAGGGGAACTCAATTCCGAAACCCAGTGTTTTCCTCCATCAGGTTTTACTTGACTTCGTATCACTTCTACGAAGCTATCTGTAATTTTGTTTTATAATTCTTGTTTTTCTGTTGTTCTTTTCCACGAGAAGGATATTTCAGCCTCTTACAGCTTGTTTATACTGTTGAACACCTCAAGTCTAGGACATAAATTAGTTAGTCCGTTGTCATCTTTGTCCCTTCTGAGCCCCTGATGGGATTTGCCAGGTCACTTTCAATAGCTAGTCTCTTTGGTGTTCTGATGGAGACTAGGGGTGAAGGGGTTGATGGAGTTTGGATGACTAATGACGTCAAGGGTCAGGTGGCAGAAGTGTGGTAGTGCAAAGTTGGATAGCTAGTGGTACTTGAGAATAGAAACTTGATCAAAGAGTATGAAAACGTTGGAGTAAGAGGAAACAAAATGACAAAGCAAACTGAAGAAAATAAGAGAGAGAATTTATATACGCTAAGCTGGATTTATAGTAATAGTCTGGGAATAGGACATTTTTCCTTGAAAATGTATCCTAAGCCGTGGATTTCTAAGATTTTACCGTTTATCATTAACATTGGGTTATAGTTCCAAAAGAAATATAGGTCTCCTCAATAGCATGTGGAGCTCAATGCGTTGGATCGTAGTGGCAATGGGATAGTTGCTCGAAATTGGAATAAGAAATGTTACTCAATCATTGAAATTCCTGAATAGCTTTATTTGACCCAGTGAATAGATGATGTTAGTCTTTCTAATATACCGTGTTTCCTTTTCTCCTGGCAGATGAGCAGAATCATTGTCATGAAATCATTTCTCAAGAGGAAAGTTTTCCAGACAAGGCTCATGTGCTTAAAATGGAAAATTCTGATGCTATAGATTCAGAGGAGGTAAGGGCCTTTTGTTTTGCAATTTGTTACAAGTCATGGAAATCCTCTGATTCTGAGACGACCCATTTTTTCCTTTTGAATTATTTTTAACTGTATTTTCGACAAAAATGCAATCTTTTTTTTTTTTTTTTTTATTATATTTCATCTTTATTTTGAGATGAAAATATCGAAGCTTAGGTGGTTGAAAGAGAACAATGAATGTTATGATCTTGTATTTGGTGTTTGACCTACACTCATAATGAAGCAGGACGATTCAGATGCATCAGGAGAGTCAACAGGTGGTGCTATTTCTTCAGTGCTTCCTGTTCTTTATGTAGAGGATGGAAAGGAAATATTGCGATTTTCTGAAATATTTGGTGTTCAAGAGCCCTTGAGAAAGGGAAGAAAAAGAGACTGCCGATACTTAATGGCCAGAGGTGTGTATTGTTTGGCTCAGTTTTGCAATTTATTCTTCAGTAGTTGCATTGTTACCAGTACAACGCTATATGACTTGTGTGAAACAGTATTTTTGGCTGTTCTTTGTTGTGGTGTAGACATCTTTCTCTCTTGGTATAAATGTTCGTTCAAGTTCTCCAGCTCTCACATCAGATATATATCTAGTTCATAGCATATTATCTTTCTAAGATAAGCTTTTCTGATTTTGCATTATGATAGAGAAATACATGTCGATGGATGCCTCTGAAATTGTTGAGGAAGATGAAGAGGAGTTTATGAAGGCACCATGCCAAGATTGTTCCTGGATGAATCAATTTCAGAAAAAAATTGATGTTTCGACAGTGGGTGTTGAAAGCGATTCAAAGAAACCTGGGATAGTTTTAGAATCCGGAAAGGTGTCTTTGGAAGCTGATGACAGTAGAAAGGATACCTGTATTTCTTCTGAACCAATGAAAGATGACTTGTGGGTGTCCAAATTTCACGAACGTAACCCACTATTTTCGCCCAAGTTCTATCCTATTGATCAGGAAGATTGGGAAGATAGAATTGTTTGGGATAACTCTCCATCTTCTTCAACTGAAAATGTGGTGGAGAGTATTGAACTCTCTGGTCCTGATTCTGACACACCTGGTGATAAGGAAAGGTTTTCGAAGGCTGAAGCACACCCCACTGAACCAGAAATTCAAAGCGGATCTTGTGGGAAGAATGACATCTCATTTCTAAATAGTTGTTCTGTTCGGGTGGAACCTTTTGGTTCGAACGAAGAATCTCAGTCTGCAAACGTTACAATCTCTGGAAGTAGAAGTCATTCACAAATCCTAAGATTAGAGTCTCAATTAGAGAAGTACACTGCAGACTCTAGAGGTGTGAAAGATGATGCTAGTGAAGCAAAGCTTCGTACAGATGCTATACAGCGTTTTAGTGAGCTCACCGTGCAGAATAGAGATATAGTGGATGGATCTTGGTTGGATAATATTGTCTGGGAGCCAGGTCAGCTTGTTGCCAAACCAAAGCTAATTTATGATCTCCAGGACCAGCAGATGCTTTTCGAAATTTCAGATATGGAAGATGCTAAATATATGCAGCTTCATGCGGGGGCTATGATTGTAGCTCGTTCTCTAGATGCGAGCGGTGCGGATTCAGTCGAGCTACACAATCATGGGATGGTATCAGCTGGACGATTCAATATCTCTAATGACAAGTTCTATTCAAACAGGAAATCCTCTCAGCAACTGAGGCCTCATTCTAAAAAGCGTACTGCTCATGGGCTCAAAGTTCTGCATTCAGTACCCGCACTTAAGCTGCAGACTATGAAAGCTAAGTTAAGCAAGTAAGTTGTCCTCTGCTGTTTTTGCTTTTCTTTTCTTCACTTCCCTTTGGATGCCTTAATGATGCACTGCTGCGTACATCAAATCCATAGAGGTTTGTGTTGAATCTTAGTGGAATCTGGTCATAAACTTGCATGAGGGATGTGCGTATGTAATGCCTTTTTATTTGAAAAGCAATGCAATAGGTTTGACCAAGGTAAATAGGTCATTTCTTCAATGTGCCTTGCATGTTAGAATATGGGCCTTAGTTTTCATGTATAGTGAGAAGGTTCCATTGTTTTTTATTTGATTGTTTTGCAACCACAAGAGCCCAAACAAGGTGACCGGATGAATCTTGTGCTGCCTTCTATTTTCATCATATCCTCCTGGCCTTTCTATTAACCAAACTTAACTTTTTGACATTGCTTTCTGTCCTATTTGTCTTTTCAACCTCATGTAAATTGATTATATGCTTTCTTCCGATGGAATTAAAAAAAAAAAAAAATTGTTTCGGGACATGAAATCAGTGTTGGCTCTGTATCTAGAGTTTCTGTGGAAGATGGGAGTTATTACATATTCTTCCTCCTTTAGTTAATTCCTCTTGAAAATGATTAGTGTGCTATTTTGGCTCATGTGCCTAAAATGATATTTGTAGTTTTAATTAATGCTTAGTAGCGTCTTAACTGTTACAGCCTAAAGTCTTGGAATATGGCTTTCTGCTTTGTAGTTTATTAGTTTTGCTTGTCTATCATGCCTATAGTTTTTTATAGATCAATTTTCCCTCTTCTTTCTGTTAATTTTGAAGCAATTGCTCCGTTTCAGCAAAGATGTTGCTAACTTTCACCGGCCAAAAGCTTTATGGTATCCCCATGATATTGAGGTTCCATTTAAGGAGCATGGGAAACTAGCTTTGCATGGCCCAATAAAAATCATTATGAAGAGTTTGGGTGGAAAAGGAAGTAAGCTTCACGTGGATGCCGAAGAAACCATAGCTTCTGTGAAGGCGAAAGCTTCAAAAAAGTTAGGTGGGTTGTGTTTCATATTACAACACTGTCCACTTTTGTGTGTGTTGACAGAATTATTATGAAATTATAGACAACCAGAACATGTGAACACTGCATATGTTTATGCAGCCACTATTATTTTATTTTGAATTTCTTCTTTCAACTGTAGATTTCAGACTATCAGAGCCAGTTAAGATCTTTTATTCTGGAAGGGAGCTTGAGGACAACAAGTCTGTTGCTGAACAAAATGTTCAGGCAAACTCGGTGTTGCACCTTATCCGCATCAAAATACATCTTTTACCCCGAGCTCAAAAGCTTCCTAGTGGGAACAAGTCTCTTCGTCCTCCGGGGGCTTTTAAGAAGAAATCTGATCTCTCAGTAAAAGATGGACATGTATTCTTAATGGAGTAAGTTATCAATATGTTTTGTCATTTTTTATGTGTGTTTTGTACTTACTCATCCCTAATGTCTGTACTTATCAGAGTTTGAATCATTTTTTCCCACGTGTCTCTACTGTTTCCTACACAAAGCTGCATGTTAATAGTATATCTACCTTTTACCAGTGGAAATCAACTATTAAAATTGGCATAATTTGACAAGATTGGTGTTATTTGGACGCATTACGACAGTTACACTTCAGTCATATGGTTAAATTCATCAATCCTTGTAGATCCATGCCAAATTTGGCCATTTTTTGTTGGAGCCTTCTCTTTTTGAACCCATATTACCTTTTCATGAAATAACATCAACTAGAGCTATAACTGATAGTTTCTATGTAAATTATACAATTCAGGTATTGTGAAGAAAGGCCATTACTTCTGGGCAATCCTGGAATGGGTGCTAGACTCTGTACATATTATCAAAAAATTGCGCCGGGTGATCAAACCGGGAACTTGCTGCGAAATGGAAACAATGGTTTGGGGAGTGTTGTTGTTCTCGATCCTGCTGATAAATCCCCTTTTCTTGGAGACATAAAACCTGGTTCCAATCAATCATGCCTTGAAACTAACATGTATAGAGCACCCATATTTCAGCAAAAAGTCGCGTCAACCGATTATTTACTTGTGAGGTCATCAAAAGGCAAGCTATCCATCAGACGCATTGATAGAATTGATGTTGTTGGACAGCAGGTTAGACGATCTTATTTGATTTTTCAGCTTGTTTAATCAACATGAGGTGTGAGCATTTCAACAAGTCTGATTTGCTTCTGAAATTACTTCATCATATAACATCTGCTATGCATTAGCAAATGCTCTTAGGATAGGAATAACAAGGGATATCTCTTTCTGGATTGTTATGCGGTGTTCCACGATTTCTTGTTTTCTGTTTAGTATGCATTGAAAACTGAATGTTGATCTTAGTATAGTCTAAGTTAGACATCACATCCTATGACCTGAGCTTGGTATGAGAATAATGGGCAATTGTTTTAAGCTGGAACAATGTCTAGAATAGAAGTTAATATGTTGAGAATAAGATCAGGTTTTTCAGCAGTAGTTTATAGGTCCAGAAATTTTACGTTAGATCCGGCTCTATGGTGCTTCTCAACGAGTCCATCCGAACTTTGATAACTCGATGTTCAAACTTTTGAATGATTGTCACGGGTTTTCTGCTTGAAGTTTGGGGAGTCTGGATTAAGTAGGACAAGCGCCCTTTTCAGTGGATTGACTCTCCGACATTGTCTATTATATTATGGTGGACATAAAGTATCTTAATATTCTTCTGTGACTTCCGAACGTGGAATTACTGTAAATAATCCGTTATAAGGATTCTGAAGCATTTTTGCCACGCATTATTACTTTGCTCTCATTATTATTTTATATGTCCAACGCTCATCATACAATGTTATCCATATCTATCCTACTGTAACTCCCTATCCTTTTCAATTATCTTCTATAGGAGCCACACATAGAGGTAATGACTCCTGGATCCAAGGGTGTTCAGTTCTATATCATGAACAGGCTATTGGTATACATGTATAGAGAGTTCCGTGCAGCTGAAAAACGTGGTGTACGTCCTTCTATACGTACGGATGAGTTATTTTCTCTGTTTCCGAGCTTGTCTGAAGCATTTCTTCGGAAGAGGCTGAAAAATTGTGCTGAATTGCAGGTATTGCGTTTACATTTAATTTATGTTGCCCAACACGTGAAGAGAACCTTCAAATGCAAGTATTTGTGTTTATTCAACTTTTTTATTTTCTTTCATGAATCTGCATGTTCCGAATAAACACTCTCTTTCATGTGCTACCAGAGAGGACCCAATGGACATTTTCTTTGGGTTATGAGGCGCAATTTTCGCATTCCTTCAGAGGAAGAATTAAGAAGGATGGTGACACCTGAAAATGTGAGCATCTACATGGATTTATCCGCTTGGCACATTTGGAGGATTTATATGATATAAGAGTAGAGTTTGTATCTGAACTCTTGATTTAGTTTTGTTTTGCGTTTTTGGATAATGGGAGGCTTTTCAGGTGATAAGGATAGTCAGCATTTTGTTTCTAATATTATTTGTTCAATAAGAAGTGAAGAACTGCCCATCATTTTTGCAAGAATCATCAAACAAAAGAGAGAGATGAGACAAGATGATATGCTACCAAAAACGTTATGTATTTCTATGTATCTTCATATATTTTGGGCTTCTATGTTAGGTTGGAAATGCTCTAGAGGAGTTCCAGTATAAAGTAGTGACTCGAAAATGTTTTCGTTTCTCTATGGATTAAAAATGTGCTATGAAGACGTATGAACAAAGACATTAAATGTAAAAAACGTTCACCTTGTGGGCCCATTTTAGGTTTCTCTAAATGATAATGCAATAAAATACTCGGTTTAAACATTCATTAAAGTATTATATTAGACCTACCCGATTATAACCTCCATCTGATCTTCCCTTTACCGTAGATCCGTATTCTTTCATAGGTTGATATACCATGCTCTTGGGTGATGGGAAAAGGAAATTTGATATTGAAATTCAGTTATCTATGAGAATATAGCTCTGTACCATAAAGAATAATTTGAATTCTATTAATGTCATGCCATGTTGTGGTGCCGTGAGATTTTATTATCTTACATTTTCCCATTTTGCATTAGGTATGTGCCTATGAGAGCATGCTAGCTGGTATGTACAGGCTTAAACGATTGGGAATTACAAGGCTGACTAATCCGTCAGGCCTTGCATCCGCAATGAATCAGCTTCCCGATGAAGCTATCGCTTTAGCTGCCGCCTCACATATTGAGAGAGAGCTTCAGATAACACCATGGAACTTGAGTAGTAATTTTGTTTCCTGTACAAATCAGGCAAGCAATTTTCTCAATAATTTAATCTTTGTGTTTCATGAAGATTGCCTGTCTTGTTTTTTCCTCAATTGTGTTACGAAATCATGTCTATTAAATATTTCTATTTGTAATGATTTCTATCTGGTCGGGTTGGCCTTGATTGACTGTAACTTTGTTTATGCACTCTATTGGAACATTCTTCTTCTATTGTATTTAGGTAAGAGAAAAATAATCTGCAAATTTTTTTATTCGAGAATGTTTCCTTCTTGTCCTTTTAACAATATTAGAACTCCCCAGCAATTAGAAGTGAATTGGATAATAGATTTGTTCCATCTTATTCAGGATAGAGAAAATATCGAACGTCTTGAAATTACTGGCGTGGGTGACCCAACGGGAAGGGGCCTCGGTTTCAGTTATGTCCGTGCAACTCCTAAAGCTCCAATCACAAATTCTGTGGTAAAAAAGAAAGCAGTTGTTGGTAAAGGAACAACTGTGACTGGAACTGATGCTGATCTACGTAGATTGAGCATGGAAGCTGCAAAAGAGGTGTGTTCTTTTTTATGCTTGAAATCTGAAACCCACTTAGTAAAATCTGAAAAAAAAAAAATATATCAAAATTATATATATTCATTTTGCATTCTCTGTTTTTTGCAAGCAGCTTCTCCTCAAGTTTAATGTTTCAGAGGAGCAGATTGAAAAACTGACCCGATGGCACAGGATTGCTTTAATCCGCAAGCTGTCGAGCGAGCAAGCCGCATCAGGTGTGAAGGTTGACCCAACAACGGTCAGCAAGTTTGCTCGTGGTCAAAGGATGTCCTTTTTGCAGCTTCAGCAGCAGACGAGAGAAAAATGTCAGGAAATATGGGATCGGCAGGTGCAGAGCCTCTGTTCTGGTGACGGGGAAGAGAATGAGAGCGAGTCTGAGGCTAATAGTGATTTGGATTCGTTTGCCGGTGATTTGGAGAATCTTCTAGACGCGGAAGAATGTGAGGAAGGTGAAGAAGACAATTATGAGTCTAAGCGTGATGGCGTGGATGGTGTGAGGGGGCTTAAAATGAGAAGGCGCCCGTTTCAAACTCGGGCAGAAGAAGAAATTGAAGACGAGGCGGCCGAAGCTGCGGAGTTGTGCAGGATGCTTATGGATGGTATGATCGTTTTAAATGTACTTAGAATCAAAATGTAGAAATAATAGCTCTTTCCTTTTTTCTTTTTCACATTGAAAAATAATAGCTATTTACTATGAGGCTAGAAGAGTTTGTTTGATCCAATAGAGTTTTAGAGAAGAATTTGCCAGTTGCTGGAGTTTTGGCTATATTCAGGCTTCATATTCTTAGTTTGAGCATAAATGGTGTGCGTTTGAAATATATATGTTTTTTTTGTTCTCTGAACAGATTCTGATGATGAACACTGTTTCTGTAGATGACGAAGCTGATAGAAAAAAGAAGAAGAAATCAAAAGCAGTAGAGCAAGTAGACCATGTCTTCAAGCCAAAGTTTGGTCCTGAAAATGCTGATAGAATGAAGAAAAGCAACACTGTTGTGAAGCGAACCATGCAACCTGAGGAGGGACCCCTTGTATTCACAGAGCAAGTTACTAATAATGATCAAAAGGAGGTCTACGCTTTGACCTTTTATCTGTATTTTTAATATGTTTGACTGATGGACATCAGGTGACTTTTAATGGGTTTGACCTTTACAAATATTTTTCAGGTGCAGGGAGAAAGCTTTTTTGCTAGAAAGCCCCTTGTGGGTAAATTCAAACCCAAGAAGAAGACCGAGATTGATCAGATGGGGTTGCTAAACAAAAAGGTTAAAATAGTGGCAGATGGGATAAATGTAAGTTTGCTGCCTCCCTAACTGAAATGTATTTGGATTTGTACTTCTATGACAAATCATACTTCAAATAGCCAATTCTAACATTTTCTGCGCTAAAACATAGGTGATCAAGGAAAAGAAGCCGTCAAGAGACACTTTCGTCTGTGGAGCATGTGGTCAGGTACACTTTCAATTCTGAAAAAAAAAAAGAGGCAAAATTGCATATTAATACACAACCTTTCGTGTTTTTGCAATATAATCACCACCTTTGAAATTTTGCAAATTAATACACCACCTTTAGCATTTTTGCAAATCGATACATGAATGACGGTTCCGTTAACATAAATGTAACAAAAATCTGACATGGCATTAAGCCACGTCAATGCTATGTCAGATTTCTGTTAACGGAACTGTCATTCATTTATCGATTTGCAAAAATTGCAAAGGTGGTGTATTAATTTGCAAAAATTTCAAATGTGATGATTAAATTGCAAAAACAGGAAAGGTGGTGTATTAATATGCAATTTTGCCAAAACTGTATTGTTTACACCAAAACCACTGAATGTAATCTCTCTCCTCTTTACAACCTAAGCTTGGCCACATGAGGACCAACAAGAACTGCCCCAGGTACAGGGAAGACACCGACGCACGAGCCGAAAGCACAGATCTTGACATGTTATTATCAGGCAGACCAAATTTCTTGGATAAAGCAGATCAAAGCCAGCCGAGACCCCTTTTGAAGAAAATCACGCCTGAAGACGAAAACAGACCTACTTCCAAGGCGAAATTTCTCAAGGTGAAATGTGGTGCGGCCGAGAAGCTTCCGGACAAACACAACACCCCCACGACTTCCCAGACCTCCGACCGGCCAATCACGTCAGACCCCGAAAAGTCAGCCGTGAAAGTCAACAAAATAATCTTTTCCAACAAGACAAAAATCGACGATCCATCGCCAGCTGTCATAATAAGGCCGCCGGCGGAGGCCGAGAGGGACCCGCCTAGGAAAAAGATCATTATCAAGCAGCCGAAGGAGATTATAAATCTGGATGAGAACAGTCAGGATGGGAGCTTTGGGTTCGAGTACAAGAAGACAAAGAAAATGGTCGAGCTTTCGGGTTTGGACAGGCGGCTCGAGAATGAAGGGAAGCAGTATTTCGAGGAGTCGTCTAGAGTGAGAGAGAATCACCAGTGGGTGGTGGAAGATAGAAACAGGAGGGTGGAGAAAATGAGGTTGATTGACGAGCAGCCGGCTTATGATCTTTTGAGGTATGAGGAGTCGATAAGAAGGGAGAGAGAAGAGGAGCAGAGGGCAAAGGCGAAGAAGAAAAAGAAGAGGAAGCATGACATAAAGGACGACTACTTGGACGATTTTCCTGTGAGGAGAAATGACAGAAGGGTGCATGAAAGAGAGAGGGTGGTTCGGAGGAGGACAGAGGTCGAGTATGGAAAACATGCTCCTGACTATGGCCTGGCTTCAAAGAGGCGTAGAGGAGGAGAGGTTAGTGGGTTTTTTTTCTTTTCTTGATTTATTTTAGTGTTTCTTTCAAATGTGGATATTTTCGTAATAGTTTATATCGATTCTTGAAAACGAATTATGATTTGCAAGAATCGCAAAAGCTGTCCTTGGAGTGTGACCTATTTACAAATAGCAAACAACTTCGGAAAGTTGAAAATGTTGTATTGAGGTTTAAAAGTGCTCCTCCCCCATGTTTGAAATTTATAGAAGGGAGAACAAATTTAAGATATTAGTATATCTTCAAATGATAAAATTGGTCTTTTGAAAGTAGAGTAAAATTCATGGGTACTTGTTTCTAATAAACGGTTAAAACTCACGAAGATTGCAGTTGGAGTCATCCATTCACTATATGTTATGCTTGCAAGTGGCCTTTCAGAACAGAAAGAGAATCTCAGCACTGTACTTTAGGACAAACAAAAAACTCTTTGAGTTGGATTGACGCACGTACATATATTTTATGTGGCTCTTAACAAAATTCTGAATTTTCTGTCCATTTTACCGTTTGACGCTGAGCATCTTTTTACTGCCGTCAACGTTCTCATAGCATGTGGAGAGTCTATCTCTGTTTCGTTGCGGAAAATACTTTATGGTAAAATGAAATAAGTGAGGAAAAAAAGAAAGAAAAAATACTTTGGCGAAATAATTTTAATTGCATCACACAGGTTGGCTTGTCAAACATCCTAGAAAGCATTGTGGAGACACTTAGGGAAAGGACCGAAATATCCTACCTTTTCCTAAAGCCAGTAACCAGAAAAGAAGCCCCCGATTATCTGGACATTATCAGCCGTCCTATGGATTTGTCGACCATAAGGGACAAGGTGAGGAGGATGGAGTACAAAAACCGTGATGACTTCAGGCATGACGTGTGTCAGATTGTGTTCAATGCCCATAAATACAATGACAGGCGAAATCCGGGTATTCCGCCTCTTGCAGACCAGCTTTTGGAGCTTTGTGACTTCTTGTTAGAACAATATGATGATGCCTTGGCAGAAGCTGAAGCTGGGATCGAATGAAAAACGGTTAGTTAAGAAAGATAGTTCTCACTTTTGCCCCCTTCATTGTCTTTTAGGAGAAAGAGGCTGTGGTCATTTTTTTTATTTTTTCTTTTTTCAAAATAGGTTAGTCTGAAAAGTTACCTCCCGTTTGAGTATGCGTATTTTTGGAGTTTGTATATTTGGCGACAGCACGTCGATCAGGTTTTGTACATGTACCATATTGTATAGTATTATTGTTTGTTGATAGCAGCAGCTTTTCAATGTGTCCAAGTTGTAGTTGTTTTTCAGTATTTGCTTATCCTTCTTTTTTTTTCCCCCCATTTGCATGGATTCTTAGCATCGACTAATGTTAGGATTCGAGATCAATATATTGAGATGAGAAATTACTATGTATCGTGTGTTTTTTCATTTGTGTTCCAGGGTAAATTAATTTGAATGTCTGTTTCCCTGTTAAATTATCGAATGTCTGAGAGCAAGGCCATCGTTCGGTTAGTGTGCTCAAGCTATAAGCTCAAGAGGTACATCGACCTGATTAAGTATTTGAGTATGCTTGTGATGATGAGTTATGGAGGTACTATGTTTATCTAATGAATTATAGAATTTGCGGATTTATTTCTATAGGTCTTGTTGGGGAAGATGACTAAAGGTGTGCATATATTGATTCTTCTTTATCAAGCGTGAAAATTCTATGCGGATAATACCTTCCGACACTTTTACTAGTTAATTGAGACCAAGATCGTGTGAAGTTCCTGCACAAACCTAATTTATTTGATGGGTTGCATCACATTGGTATGGTGGAAATTATTTCAAGTTGAAATAGATATCGAGACATGAAGACAAATTTTTTTAAGAAATAATGCTTGTAATATGTGTTCATTGTTATACAAAATTTATCTTATTAGCCAAAGATGAGCATTTCTAACTGGTTTTATCGGTTATTTTATCGATTTAGTAAATATTATTTTAGTTTATTATTATGATAACGTATAAAACTAACTTTAATGAATATAAGATTGATTAAAATCTAATAATAATGCAAACATAAAAGTTTAAAAAAAAAAACTACAAAAATATAAATTTTTCGAGGACTTTCAACTCATGTAAAAATATGATAAAAATATAAAAATAAAAACTATTTGTTTTTAAAAAAAAATAATTGGGTGTATCCGATATTTTAACTTGTATTTTTTGGTAAAATTGGTATTTTTCGTTATGAAATTGGTAAACCAGTATTTTGGAAAAAAACGGTATTTAGATTATCACCGTACAGCCGGACTACCGGTATTCAGTAGTACCAGCCAATACAGTATTAAAACATTACTTATTTATGTTGTTTTTAAATTGTTTATCCATGTTTGTAAATACAGAGTTCTTCAAGTATAACATTCCTATAAATTAATCCTTAATAACTACAATATTATGTTTGATTTGCGTAAGGTATAATTGCCATAGTAGTTTCACCATAAAATTTATCTTGAATCATAGTAGTTTTATATTAGCCGCTATTTGGTGCTACACTTTGTGTGGATACATGACTGCACCGTCTGTGATGAAACATTTGAACGTGAATAAAAAAATACAAAGATTAGGAAACAAAATTAAATAGCATATGTATAATAACTAAATTTATAAACAAAAATATCTTAAGAGAATCACCTCGGAGTCGTAGAATCCCAGAGCACGGTACCTTGAAAGCAATAGTTTCGTAATATCGCATCACACATACCCCCTTCTGTTTTTGAGTAGTGCTACATGTACAGTCAAATTGTACAATGAGTTATACAATGAGGATATATCATGATAAATTCATAATCCCGAAAATGAAGATATTGTGTTTTAAAACACTACACTTTATTGTTTCAATACCAATTATTTCCATTTTATTTTTTTTATGCTTTTATTAATTTTTTTCCTTATGAACATGATGTAGAATATTTCAAAGTACCAATTTTTAATAATGTATAATATTTTTTTTTAAAAGTACATTGGAAAAAATCTTTTTTTATCAAATTATATTTCAAGTTGCTAACTCGATGTTGTCTCCTATTTGCTCCCTATTATCAAATTGAGAATTTTTTTTTCCGACTTACGAGAATTACTCTAAAATGTAACTTACAAGATTAAAAAACATCGAACTGGGATATTTTTTTTGCATCGATAGCATTATGCAACATATTTTTTTTTACATTTAAAATTATACTATTGGCACTTTGTTAGCACTCAAATACAATTTTTTTCAGTAAATAACATTTTAGAGGTAAACATATTTTCAATGTGAATAAAAAGTTCTATTTGAATTAATGTTTCATAGATTAATAAATAAAAATATATGACTTATTTATTTATATTTTATAGTTTTTACATTTCAACAATTTCTATTAGTTTTATTTATTTTTATGTTTACGTATTTCTAAAATTAACTTATTAAATAATTAATTTATAAAAAAATGAATTATATATATATGTACTTAATTATTTTTATTCTTATGTTTCACATAAATAATACTTATTACGATAATATATATAATAGTTGAAATCTATAAATTTATGTATTGTTCTTAAGTAAGATAGACAACCTTTTTAAATTAAACATAAAGTACTCTTCTATAAAACAATAGAAGGTAAATTTATTAAGGTAATATTTTGGGGGCAAATTAGTATTTGACTTGGAATTGTCAATGTCATTGTATAAAATATGGTACAAATAACATTTTTCTCTATTTTTTATACCCGTGCGTAAGTCATTGTTCGAATAAGATGTGATAGAGATGTGAATATGATTGTACAATAATCAGTTGCTATTTATAAACTACAACATACTAGTACAACACCCGTGTATTACACGGGTGCTTGATATAGTTTTTGTAAAATTTTAAAATTAATGAAAAAGTGGTTTAAAATTTAAATACTTTTATAAAATATATATATTATTATATATTTTAAAATGACATTTATTAATTGAGCGATTTACCTGTGCTATATTATAATAATTTTTTTAACTTATAACATGTAACTACTTTAAACATAAATATATTAATTGGGAAATAATTTTATTATTTATTTAATATTAATAAATAATGTTACTGTGATTATAAAAATAAATATAATATATTTTTTATAAATACAATATAGATGTTAAATTGAAATCATCAAAAGATAATTAATTTGATATATTATATATGTAAAACCGATAAGAAATACAAAGTTATCAACTTTTTAAATATATTTGCAATTTAATGCTTATAATAAGAAATAATATTAAAATTCAATTAATACATCTAAAATGATCATAAATAATCAACATATTCATGTTAATCTGAATCTAATTATTTTTAGATAGAAATTCAATTAAAATCTATCCAAGCCAAATAATAAAGCATGAAATTTTGACACCTAGTGAAATTTTCACACCTAGGATTCTGAAGCGTGCGAGTCTGACACTTAGGCTTAACACATTCAAAAATTATATATACTAGTATAATACCCGTGTATTACACGGTTGTTGAATTAGAAAGCTTTTGTAAAAAATATTAAATTTTTTATTTTCCTTAAAAAAACTAAAATAAATTAATTTTATATAAAACATTACATAAGTTTTAATTAAATTGTCAAATTATATATTTTTAATCATAATAATTAAACACCCATACATTATATGAAAATGTCAACCCGTATTGAATTTTTTTACTTATATCATATAAAAATATCGATATTATTTACTATTACATAAGTACAAAAATATATATCATAGATAAATAGAAATAATATGGTGATATGTATATGCATAAATGTAATATATGTTTATTTAATATTAAACAAAATAGATAGATTTTTTTACTTAATTAGATGCCTAATACATCAAGTGTCGTATCAGTCGTGCTTCACAGTTTTTTAACTTTATATGTAATTTTAGAATTTATATAAATAATTATTTATTTTTATTACATTGACAACATACCAAATAGATTTGAAATAAATATCATTTTTATAAGAATACATACCAATTTTTATTACTTTATAATATAATTTATGGTTTTAGTTGATATAATTTAATTTAATTTGATAAATAAATTTAAATTTTATTTCTAAGGATATATATATATATATAAATAAATAGTAAAATACAAACGGACTTCATAATATCAATTCGAATGAACACACTAATTAATTTTTTTTTTCTTGACAATATTAACCGTATTTAATGGATGTTATGGGAAACGATTGAGATGGATATGAAGAGACACTGTGTATTAGATGGAGGGTTAAAAATAAAAAAATATGAACAAAATATCTAATTTTTTATTATTATAAAAATAAATATAATTTATTTATTTTATATATATACAATATGGATGTCAAATCGAAGCTCATCAAAAGATGATTAATTTGATATATTATATATGTAAAACCGATAAGAAATACAAAAGTTATCAACTTTTAAAATATATTTTCAATTGAATGGTTATAATATGAAACGATATTAAAATACAATTAATATAAATATTAATTTATATCCAAGCCTAACTCCAAAGCAAATTTTTGAAAAGAAAACTCGTTATGTCTGGTTCGGTCTTACCCATCGGTCGGTCCAGGAGTCGGTAAAGTGCAGGGCTCGGGTCGGAAACAAGACAGAAAGCGCTGGTTTTTCTAGCCTAAAGAAATAGAAAATGAAGCGTTCCGGTGCAAGGTAAGTATCAGTGCAAGGTGTAAGGGAACATATCATTAAAGGGCGGGTACGAGTACTGCTGGGGAAGTGGTCGATGGTTCGAAGAAAGGTTCAAGGCATTCTGAGGGGAAGTGGTCGATGGTTCGAAGAAAGGTTCAAGGCATTCTGAAATTATATATAGAAGGGATATATCAATAGATATTTGATATGTGTTCAAATTTAATTAGGATTGAAATGTTTAGCATATGCTCTAATGTAACTTACAAACATGTCGATATGACTTTAACTTCCAAACTGCTTTCATGGTTGTTGTACGTGTGTAGTTTTAACTTCCATATATTAGTGGTGTTAAATATGTTTGACTGATTTACATATTAAAATATAAAATATTTTATGAACCGATATAAATTTATGACTAAAATAATTAAATACATACTATTTAACATTTAAATTAGTCACGATATTACTAAGAAATACAAAAAGTTATTTACGAAATACTCTTTATATTATGTAATCAAATATTTATTACATATATTGTGTATATATATATATATGTAATACTATTTGTTTAATGAATTAATTTAATCATGATCATATGTTTTGGATTTTTCAACTTGTTGTAGAAAATGAATCAAAAAATATTCTACAAAGATGATGTTATTTATTTATTATGAAGAATGTTTGTGTGATTCATTGCGCATGTCTTTAAAACATTTTATATCTACTTCAGTATTATTTCACTATTATAAGATTTAATTTGTATGTTGTACAAAATGAAATAAAAAATATTCTACAAACATGTTATTGATTTATTTACTATGAAGAATGTTGTGTGTTATTCGTTGAGCATGTTTTTAAAATATTTTATATCTAATTTCACTACTATTAGATTTTATGTTTATGTACAAAATTTAAGATATAAAGTTTATAAAATTCAGACAAGAATCATACGAACACTTGTAATTATTTTAATTTATAAAGTATAAATTATAAAAATTAGATAAATAATTGAAACTAACGTTTTTCTTGCAAAATAAAATAAAATTTCATAAAAATACATGTAAACGTTCTTCTTAAATTGTTAAAAATACAAGTAAACGTTCTTCATTGTTTATAAATTTGGATGGTTTGCTGTCTTAATACAAGAATTCTTCATTGTTTATAAATTTTGATAAAAATACAAGTAAACGTTCTTCATTGTTTATAAATTTGGATGGTTTGCTGTCTTAATACAAGAATTCTAAGAATTCTTCATTGTTTATAAATTTTGATAATACAAGAATTCTTCATTGTTTATAAATTTTGATAAAAATACAAGTAAACGTTCTTCATTGTTTATAAATTTGGATGGTTTGCTGTCTTAATACAAGAATTCTTCATTGTTTATAAATTTTGATGGCTTGCTGTCTTAATACAAGAATTCCCATTGTCCCATGGGATTTCAAAAAAATAAGTATAATATTTTAGTATAAAAGTTAACTTATACCAATTTTAATTTTTAAATAAAAATAAACATTTATTTGGTGAAATTTGATACTTTGTTTAAATGTTATATTAGAAATTTAATATTAATGTCAATTTGGGAAGATACGGTTTCAGTTTATTCTCTGTATTAGTTTATTGAAAATACCAAAAAAATATAAATGGTTAATGCATTGAAAACAGAAACTAGAGAGAACAGAGACCAACACGGGATTAGATGAATAAAGCTAAGATAAAAATTCACCAGCAAAATCCCAACACCACAAACAACATTAGATTTTACTACACAAATACAACAACACAAAGTGCCTTTTTCATTCCTTCTCTTCTTCAGCTATTTATTCGAATCACATTACAACACACAAAAACCATAAGAAAAT